TTTGGCGACTAAAAAATTATTTTATAATTTCAGAATTTCTAGTAAATTTGGAAATCAATAAGAGCTTTATTTCGTAGCAATATGCGCTCATAAATTAGTAGTTGTAAATCTGTTGTCAGTCGTGAATATTCAAACTTTGTAAATTATTTACGCAGTTTTTGCCAAAGTTCAAAAAACTCGCGCGTCGATCGTAAAATAATTCATCAAACCAGACGAAAGCTTTTATAATAAAATACAAAGTTATTAAATATAATATACTTGGTATGCTATAAATTTTGTGTTATATTAGTATTTAATTATAATAACGAACGAGGCACAACATATCGGTAAGCGAATTAATTCTGTCTGGGTTGTGAAAACCGACACATAATCGTTATCAAATCAAATCCACTACCACGTATTCACAACTACTACGGTATCATGATTATTTACTTGCACAACAAAAGCGCTGCTCGTATTGGAAAGTGGAATTTGATTCGTTCGTATGAAAATTCGCGAAAATCCACCAAAAACAACGCCCACAATCAATTCTTATTCGGCATTAATATATCGCCTCTAAATAGTTTTAATGGCTGGCCCCCTTTGCTAAATGTAAAAATGTAAAAATTGAGCTACGATCACTATGCTTTAAAAATGCCGAAATAAAAATTTTTTTTTAAATAATAAGCTTGGCTCGATATCGAGTTAACGAGCGCAGAAAAAAATCCGGCGCAAGTCGTCTATTTGAGGGTCATTCCCTCGGGCTGGGGGCGAGGGAGAAAATAGGGGCGCGCCAATGGAATGCGAGAAAGTCGGCGAAGAGACTCGGGGACGACGCAACGCGTCCGAGATAGAAAATCGGCGCACGCTCGGGATGCAATCCGCTCGTCCGTGTGCATTTAGCCTTCAAACGGGCTGAAAATAAACGCGGCGAGTCACACTCGGCACGCTTCTCCCCGCCGCTTCTCCACACCCTCCCCCAACCCACCGCGTCGATCACCCATCTCTCTCTCTCTCTCTCTCTCTCTCTCTCTCTCTCTCTCTCACTCTATCACTCTCTCAGTCTCAATCTCAATCTCCTTCGACACTCCCTCCTACGTTCCACTCTATCGTTTCAATCACACTGCTCTTTTCCCGCTGCGCTTTACTCGCTTCTTTCTTTCTACTCGTAATTGAACGCAACGAGTAAGTTCACAATTTCGAAACCTAGAAATCGCGGCGGCGGAGGCGGCGGCCTCGGTAGGGGCGATGTGTGAAAAAACGATCGAACAAAGACCACGCGGTGCATTGAAATAATGTTGCTCAACGATGTCTGTTCGATTAACAAAATATCTGAGTGCTATATTACTTTCGCCGTGCTTATGTGATCGGATGATTTAATGTCTGTTTATAGAAATTCGGGACTAAACAATCTGTATATAAACAATATGTAGTCTGCTGCTTTTTCATTTTTTTTTTTATGCGAGTTTGGCATGCATTTTAGCAGCTATTTAGTTATGAATTATAATCTGAATTATATTTTTCTGAATAATTCCGACAGGTCGGTTGATGAAAAAACAAAATACTTTTATACTTTTCATGCTGCATTTTTATCTCGAGTATCATGACATGTGTCCAACCACGCTAAATTAACAGTTATCTCAGATTTTATTTTCAATTTTCATTTTGCATCTCATTCCAATGATTAAGTCTGTAGAAAATTTAATTCTACATCGTTAACGTCGTCACTCCACTTTTTTATTATTACTATTACTATTATCGTTATTGTTGTTCATTTTTATTATTTATCTTTTATGAAGATATTCAAGCAATCTGGTAAGAATATTGACGTTTAGCGATGCATTATTTAATGATGCAAACTGTCATTAATGCAGTCGTATCGTTATTTTCATTCTAATTATTTGTGCGTGTAATAAAGTGAGCATAAAGTGATAGAAAGCCGATTTTATAAATTCTTTTCAATGAAATGCGTAGAAAATTATTACTTTTATCACTGCGACTGTTCAGTCGTATGGCTGTGAACTGATTCTCTCGTTAAAATGTTTTCTCTTTGTTCTTCCACTTTTTTTCCCTTTCCCTTTTATTTTTTATTTTTTATTTTTCTTTACAACGACCCCAGGTTCACTGATCTTTCTATTTACATAGAATTCGAAGTAATCATTAATAATATGTTCAGTGGGGGCGTTGAAATTCACGGATAGGAGGATACTTGTAATTTCGAGCATTTGAACATAAGAATGAAGAACCCAGCGAGAGGCATTAAATCAGTAAATTCGAATTTTAAAAGACGTATCGCTTAACACATATAAAATCTTTGAAACGAAGCATTGATGGTATTCATGTACTCGAAGCACAATTTTATGCATTAATGTTATGATTAATTTTGCGATCAAACAAAAGTAAAATACCTAATAATGGATATTTCAAATAAAAGAAAAATCGTTTCATCTTAATTTATTAGGATTAGAAAAGTTTCTTCGCTACTTTCTCGATTCCGGACTTGTGCTTTTATCATTAGCCAAATAAAGATGGTCGTATATTCATTGCCACACTATTTCACAAGTTTATGTCCCATCGGCAAGCGGAAGCGTGGTTACATCGAGATCGTAAAAGTTGTAACTTCGAGCAACTGATGGATATATATTTATATAGTTAGTGATCAGGGTGGGTCCTACGGTGTCCTGAAACTGTGAGGAAAGGGAAAATAGTACATCGACAAATCACTTAATTCCTCCACCCTTATTATCGTTCTAAATAGCTCACGATTAACGAGAATTAATTATCGAGCTCGCAATATCACAACGGTGCTCATGCAAGTTTACTACTACTACTACTACTCCTCTCTCTCTCTCTCTCTCTCTCTCTCTCTCTCTCTCTATCCTATCTCTATCCTATCTCTATCCTATCTCTCTCATGCTTTTCTCTCCGAGTTACTTCCTTTCAATTTATCTCGTGCATTCTCTTTCATTTTCTGCATTACTGGAAACGCTTTAATGCGATAATTCAGCTCTGGCGACTAAAATAGCACACGTTGTTACGTTATGAGTCGAGCCCGTGATGAATTTATGTTTCTATTTTGATGAACAGAGAACAAAACCATTAGATTTTATTTTTAATGGATCGATGTTTATATAAAGGATTCTATATAATAGAGTAGTGTGAGGTGCGAGCGTCGATATTAAGTAAAATACTAGAGCTTGAAAGTTCGAGCAAGCTTTACGAACTGTCTAGCGACTTCAACGCGAAGCTCTCGTTTTTAACATTGTCGAGGAAGATTCTCGTTGAGTAAACTTTGCTACAATTTTCACTTCATTTCTCACCCAATGTTTTTCCGAGATTTGCCCTTAAAATTCATGTAACGTTTTCGAGCAGAAAAGGAAGAAAAATCTCACAAAGTTTTCATTCAATTACCGAGTCCAGCTTTACCAACAGCAGACCGACGTTCGACGTGCAGCTACTTTAAGGTTGACTCCTCCCCCCCCCTCCCCATCTCCCTCTCCCCTCCTACTCCTCCTCCCTCGCCCATCCCATTAAAAGCACTCCATCCTAAGATCGAAGTATGCATAAGAGCTCGATCATTCGAATGATGAGCGCGAATGTCTCAATATTACGTTAGAATTAAGCCTATGTATATGGAGACGAGAAAAGGCAAACTCTAATCACACCCACAATCGTTCATTCACAAGTATTTGCAAATTTACCACTCACAGATACTTTCATAATACGTGAGCAACGACTCCATCCAGCGATAAGGAACAATAGCATTTCATGACGAGTCGTCACGGTCCATTCGTCATTTTAATTTCCTGCAACCCCCCGGCGACTACCGCCGTCGTCGCCGACTACTACTACTACTACCACTACCACTACCACTACCACAACCACTACCATTACCACTACCACTACAACTACTACAACCACTACCACTGCCACTACCACTACCACTGCTATAAGTCTCGATGAAATGTTTTCAAGGCAGATTTTCAACCAAAATGTGGCAAATCTTTTTAATCAAGGATTAGCGTCTCATCCGCACATGCACTGCTATCGCTCGAGATAATTGATTGATTGCGGGACACTGTACACGTGTCCAGCGTTATCTTCCTCGAGAGTCGCGCCGGAAACGAGCTCTGCCGAGTCGTGTTTCCCTGAAAAACCGCGAGAACCCGGTTGGTTTCCCATTTCTATGGCGCCTCGACACAGCTTATGTATCATCGCACTGCAAATTGTTCTGTTCTCGAGCGTGTCGTACTTATGTATTCGTTTTTTTTTCTTAAGTTTTTTTTTGTTTTTGTTTTTTTTTGTTTTTTTTTTTTGTTTTTTTGTGTAACGTCTTGTTTGTATTGTCGATTAGCTGTAGTTTACTAGGACGGAAAGTACGTTAATGCTCGCCGAGCTACAATACGCGGCACTTGTATAACGACGAGCGCAACTGCCAACTCCAGTCGAGACAATTATGGGTTCTACGTAATCGCTTTAGTATTGCCACGATTCCGTAATTACGGCCGAGCGAAGATTCGCAGCCGGTGAAAATGTAATTACAATTTCCTAGCTACGAGATTGAAGAAGCTTTACGGGAATCTGCCTAATGTTAATCTTGTGTACTTATTCGCTCAAAAAGAATGCGAAAAGTCATGCCATATAAAACTAGATATTCTTAGCAGGATATTATGCTTTATGTTGACATTATGTTTCTTAGAATTGGCACTTGCCGTACTGCCTGGTCATGGCTCTTTATTTATTAGCTAGCACGTGTGTAAGTAAGGAGGATATACCGTTAAGACTCCAACACCTATGCGAATATAATTGCCAACTAAAGAGTCAGCGCATATCATTAGGCCGAGACATGTCTCGGCTCCTTCGGACACGGCATATGAAAATAATGATGGTCTTTTACGAATGGCCTGGCGTTAATGGGAGCATCCGAAGCCGTGGGATTACGATACACTGGGTCCGACATTCCGGCCCGAGGACCCGCAGCTAAAGTCCAAAATTAACGACAGTCTCTTATGTTTTTTCAGCGTGGATCGGGACCGGCTTCGCGAGCGGGAACGACAGGCCCGGGTGGCTATGTCGGTCCAGGCGGAGCAGGCGGCTGGACGGGGCGCCTCCGACACCCGTCACGGGCACCACCACCACGGCCATCACAATCACGGCCAATCCCGCCACGGCCGCTCTCGCCCTTGCTCCAGTCAGGGTAAGTCTTTAGCCAATTGTATTGTTGAAGATAGAGGCATGGAACATGGGGCGAACGCCGATCGTGTCACGAGGATTCACGGACGCGTGTGATCACAGGGGGATCGCCGTATCGTTTATCCTTATCTGGGAATGCCAAAATCGCTTGTTTGACATTGGAAAAGGTCGATCTACGGGAGAGCGCTAATGGGCAATCGCTAATAAGCGATAAACCGGGGGAATAAGACGAGCGGCGCGCCGCTGATTTAGCACGGATTAATGATGATAACGCGAAAATAATGAATAAGCGTTTAATGCGCACGGACGTGGTCAAAGAGATTTATCACGACTGTCGTATTATCGCTTATTAAACTAAAAGTGAATGAAATCTTTTTAAATTGAAATGCGAAGTCAACTTACAAGGCACTTCTTTTCCTTTGTTGGAGTAAAATTCATGCTAAAAGCGCATCGTCTCCCCGTCTACTTTGTGTTAAGCGAGTGCTTTGAATGAAAATGTTTCTCTGCTCCAATAAAAGTGCTTTATTTATTATAACTGGACGTTCTGTTGCGGAGGTCAAAACTTTTCATTCCACGCGAATTGTGTAGTTTTTAATTATTATGCGCTCATGTAAAATACACAAAGATCATTGTTCTCTATACATTTCTCGTGGTACTATTTTATTCATAAACACAATTACGAAGCAAATTAACATGTTTATATATGTTTAGCGATATATTCTCATCGCAAAGTGACATTCGTATCTTTGCCCTGTCGATTTAGCAGAATTCGAAAATTTTCTCAACATTTCGAATTATCGCCATTGTATTGGCATGCGCACTCGCGCACGTGCCGCCAACACGCCGATCATTCATTAATTAACATTGAACTGTTAAATTAAATAAATTTGTGGATTTACCGTGCACGATATTTGTAGAAGGTCATTATTATTCCAAAACCGTTGGCTCACTAATTGATTTGCGAGTACTTTCGTATCCATCCTCGTGTAAAGCATAACGGGAACTTAGCTCAAGGGCTTGTGTAAAAATACAAATTTTGCTTAGTATTGGGAATATAAGTTTATGATAAACTAGCTGCGAGGAGCACGAGATAGCAAGATCGATAGCAGCGTTAGTAGTATCTTCGCCCAAGCCGTACGACTTACAATATCACGAATAACGCGCAATAGTAAAAATACGTACAAATAACTCGGCGGAAGCGAAAGAGCATCGAAGGGAAAAAAATCAGCGCCGCCGTGGTTAATCTCGCGGATTGTCCGATAAATTCACGAAGAGCTCCTGGCTTTAACAATCCGCCGAGGAGAAATCTAATACGGCATTCTCCCCATTTCCCTCCTCTCATCATCCCCCCCCCCCCCCCTTTCGCCCACT